TGCCGCCCAAACTCAATCTTGCCTAACTATCCGTTTTCTTGGCCGTGAATTTCAACTTTGCAGCTAACGAGTTCTGTAAATAAAGTTGCCCAAGCTTTTTTACTCTAAAGCGGGAGTACTTTTAATTTAATGCAAATCAGTACGAGAAATTGAAAAATTTATGAAAACGTAAATTTATAGAGCTTTTAAAACTAACTTTATTTTTTTATGAATAAGGCTATAAATAAATATTTAAAGACTCCATATCTTAAAAAAAAATTTCGTAAAATTTGTATTACCGTAAACGTAGGGTTATCTTCTCAGCACAGCGTATAAAAAGGTTGGACGGGTGAATAAAGCTCATAATTCTGTGACTTAATTATATATGGACTGTTTAAGTGTATCTTATAGATAAGTGAAGGTAGAAAATCGAACTAAAGTGAAGCTTAAAACCTTATACAAAATCAATAAATCTCTAAAGGTTCTATTAATTTAACAATTTGAAATTGATTTTGTATTTAAAGACACGCCTGAAGCATGTTAGTCCTGATTACCCAAGCGCAACTAAAACAATAAAACCAATGTTGGGAAAAACAAATACCCGAAAAGCTTAACTTACGCACTTTGTTGCGCGTTAAAAAAACCAGTCATAAATTTGTATTTACACTGTAGCAAGCAAATATAAATATATATGCGTAAGTACATATGTATGTATGTACATGTGCATGACTTCGTATATATGTACGCCAGTATGTGTATACACACACACTTTTGTTCTACCTGCTCGAGGACACTAAGCTCTACTTACTAGCAGTTGCGAAAATTCACGCTTTAAAATGAAAGAGCAACTAAACTAAAATGGAATTTCCGGTGTTGGTATTTCCACACCTCCAATTACAGAGTTGTTAAATGTAACATTGACAATGTACTGAGAAAATTAAATAATAATAAAAAATAATTACTATTTAAAGATATGTGCTATGTGATATGTGATATGTGAGAACACAGATTAACTCAATGTGCAACACAAAGCTGTTCATAATTTCATAATCTGGAAATTGAAATGTTTATATTACAAGACATATTGGACAGGTAGTACTTAGCACTACAGCAAAAATAACATTTAGTTGTACTTTATTGCAGTTTCTAAACGATAGAATGGTAAAAAAAAAAAAATGTTGTGCTTATTCAAGGCATATAAAACACCCTTTACGTATATTCTGTTGTTGCTTCTGTCCTCTAAAGTGCAAAAAAAAATCAGCGCTTTTTTTAAATTCATAGTAGACCATGTGAAATATAAAGAAAACTTAAAAAAAAATTGTTTGACCTTCATTCTTGGGAAAGTTTCTTGCATTTAGAAGCATCGATCGCCCTCAGTAGGGCCCAATAACACAAGTTTACAGAAATAAAAAATGTTTCCAACCTTTACCATCATTTCTAAAGTCCTTTTTTCTGCTGAATTCGAAAATAAAGTTAAAACATCAGTCTGCCTGTATGTGTGCGCATATACCCTGTGGGGAAAATCTCTAGTTCTGAACTGGGGCGCTTCTAGTATATTTAGACCCGGTACTGGTTCGCGATAAATCTCTTTTGCATGCAATCAACTGGCGAATTTAACATGGCGATGTCCTAGGAAGTGTCAATTGCCCCCCGCTGCATCCCTTTTTCGATAGTTCCGAACTAGTCCTAAATTCTATAGTTCTGAACCAGTTCTAAAATCGACAGACGAAAGAAAAAAGTATCATGGTTTTTCAAACTTTTTGGTTCTTCCGTGTGTGCCATTTTAAGTTATTTTGGAAGAAATGTGTTTTCAATTTGAAATTAAATTTGTTTGAATGATTGTAAGAAATGTACGTTTACATACCTTTAGCTGTAGCTGAGTTTCCAGAGGTGCTCGCTGATATTTCTTAGATTCCAGACGGCCCCAAGATGTTAATATGTTAACACAAAGCTTTGTTTTGTATTACCAAGCTATGAAAAAGCATCTGCGAAGCGCAGAATAGAAGCGTATTTGAACGAAAAAGCCGCCGAACACATATCTATGTAAAGTAAACAAGCCCCCCGCTGCATCCCTTATTCGATAGTTCCGAATTAGTTCTAAATTCGACAAAAAAGATCTAGTTCGTTCTGCATCCCTTTTTCTATAGTTCCGAACCATTTCTAAATTCGTCACTTTAGATATCGATTTCTAGTGAAAAAAACCGAAATAAATTAGTTTTTTAAAAGTACCACTTTTCTCCGATTTTGGACTGGTGGGGATTTAGTTCATATCGGACTAGTTCGTTTTTGGCGACAAAGACCTAGTACGGAACTAGAAATTTGATTCACTAGTACGCGGTTTCCCTGCAGGGTATATATATATATATTCAATACAGTTTTCATCCATGAATTGCTAGAGATCTAACTTCAAATATAGAAAGAATGTATGAATCATTTGTCGGAACCGGTAAAATCGCACCGCTATATAATATGGCTTGCATATATCACATAAATCCCATATATTTTGGACTCTTTTATTTTGAATAATAAAACCATAACATTTATTGATAAATTTACTTATCAATCAAGAAAAGTCTACTAAGGAAATCTGTAAGGTCGGTGTTCTATAAGATATGTACAACAGATTGTTCAGATATGAGCTTTTGTGACATTTGTAAGCTTTTTACTAATAAATCGCCCAAGATATGCTGATGAAATCATGACAATCGGCCCACTATTACTTATAGCTCACATAAAGCTCATTATTCAGATAAGGGGTCTTTAATTTAGATAGCTAAAACACTTTTTTGTGAGCTGTTTACTTATAAATCGTAAAGTTTACTAAAAATGATCAAGATCGGTTACATATGTATAATGTATATCTCTTACACAACGAATCGTTTAGATAAGAGTTTTTGTGACATTTATATAAATATTTTTTTTTTGTGCCGGTGTTGTTATTATTGCACTTAAAATATGTACGTTAGAGCAGTAAAGCATTCAAAGCGTAGTCTTCTAATTCGAACCTGGAGTTGTTACACACAAAACCTGCTGATGAAAAACATATATATTTGGGCCTCAACACTTGTAGGTGGAAGTGTCAAAAGGTAGTCGTAAGCCATTTGAAGGTAATGATCCCTATCTCTTCCATTACGAAATACTTGAAATCCTAGGATTTTCGGGACCTAAAAAACACCGGGACATTGCCATCCCTTGATTGAAGCCTTCGACATATACGAAGTCAGCACTTTTCTTACATATTTCGTATTGATGTTAACACCGAAATAATTTTTTTTTTTTTGAAATTTTGTTAAATGCTATGCCTAGTTGTATATCAGACATACCCTAAAACTGCTATAGAGTACGTGAACTGTTTTCAGATCTCAAAAAAACCGAAATGTGGTAAATTTAGTCTAGGAATGATAGATAAATATTACATGGCGGATTTCTTGTCGACAGTCTAAAAGCTGGCTTTCAATCGGTTCTCTTTATGCAAAAAAAGGTTTGTCATGCAAATACATTTTGTGCTCTCTAAATAATAAAGTGCTCCAAAATCAGACTTTCCAGCAACTTTGTTTTAGTTTGTTTTTGTTAACGGATGTTGAAAATTTAGAATTTTTGCGGAACATTTTAACCGAAATTGATTAGCTTAGAGGCAGCTTTATCTGTACAATATAGCTTGATGTTAAGCATTTCCTGATTGGTGTTTACTTGCAGTCGATTTGTTCCCACAATTTCAAGCCCATTAGCAGTTCTTCTTTATACGAGTTCACTCGTTGCAGCTCAATATTCGCTATATTTTGTTTATTTTCACCAACAGCCAATTTTTCTTATTTCCTTAGTGGCCTACCAGACGCACCATAGACACTCGCTACAAAAATACATACTTATAAACGCTGTGTTTACCGAAGTAAATAAAAAAAATTTAGTAATATGAAGAAACAAACAAAAAAAATCAAACAATCGCCAAAATTATTTTTGCAACTTTTCGACTATTGCTGAGCAACACCCTAGTATTTCTTTTTTTATTTTTATGTAAATTTTATAGTTTGTATTAAATATAATAGTATATAAATATGTACATATGTATGTATCAAATATTTATACAAAGTATAAGCATTAAAATTAAAATTGTTGACTAATGTGACGCTAAAAAAAATTTGAAGACCTTTGAGTTTTTTCTTACCTTTTTTTTGGCGAAGAAGATGCGAATCTTTTTTATGGTGAATACTTAATCATGACGCGTGCCTGTTGTGGAAGGTCGTGTACCAATAAAATGACTTTGAATGAATTATTTGTATGTTCATTTGAAATTCATAGCAAGCGCAGAGAAGAAAGATTGAGACCAAAATAATGGAATTGACCGCAAACAAAAACAATGTTTTAATAGAAGAAGCGATGGAAAAATGCACCTTATCCGTGATGACTGCGGGAGCAATCTCAAAGAATACCACTTTGATTATGGAAGGAACTGTTCGATTTTGTTCGAGTTTGTCCTATGCAGATACTAATTATTCCCCTTTATATTGGAGTGGTAAAAATTAGAGCCAGCTGTCATTCAAAACGAATTTCTCAGGTTTCTAAAAAAATATAGTTTTCTTACAGGCCAACGTCGCATTTGAAATTTCGTTGACTAAGGGCCATTTTCTCAAGTAGGTTTTAAAATCTATCTGCCCTTTAAACACAAATTTTGTTTTGAAAAAATGTATTTAAATAGTTGATAAATTTTAAAACCTACATGAGAACACAGCAGTAAGTAACGTTCTCCAATAAATTCGCGGAATAATTTTTTAAGAGATTATTCGCACAACTTTTTTCGGGGAGATTACTTTAAACTTTTTTTTTCAAATTAAATTTCAACCGCTGCATTTAAACGTGTAACCTATATATTCTTATACGTTTGTATATATTAACTATTTGTTCTCCTTTTTGTTTGACGTTACAATGTTTTGACGGTTAGGGTCTGAGCCAAAAACAAAATTAAATTTTTATTAGTATATTAAATTTATTATACTAAATTTCCATATTTCATAATTTTTCAGATGTTAAATCTGTGCTACATTTACTACCTCTCGAAACTGACCGAATTCGCTGACACAATATTCTTTGTGCTGCGGAAAAAATCGTCACAAATAACGTGGTTGCATGTGTATCATCATTCGGTGACGCCACTGGAAACTTGGGTGTTAGTCAAATTTTTGGCTGGTAAGTAATAAGGATTTGATGACATACATATCGTCGTTCAAAGTGCAAAACCGCGTATCAGCAAAATGCAAAACCGCTTATGTGAACTTGTAAAAATTATTTTCTAGAGCGTAAAAACTTTCATATTTCAAAATGGTTCAAGAACTTATGTGAGCAAATCCAATTTTTGGCAGCCAATGTTAGTTACGCGGTTTTGTACTTTAAACGACGATATGTATGTATATACTATACTTATCTAAAAAATATAAATATAAAATGTTTATCACAAGAGAACTGGAGTAGAAAGTCCCTAAAAACAATTTCATAGCACATTAAGCGGTTCGATTTACATGTGTATGCACACTAGGGTGGTCCAAAACAAGTAAAGTCGGAATTTTAATGATTTGTAATTGTTATATATCGGAAAAACTGTTATATATATCGAAAAATATATATAAATATATTTTATTTTGAAAAAAAAAATATTTAGAGATCGCTCAAAGCGGTCAAAGTTTTTCATGTATTTTATATGGGGAAAAACCAATTTTTCATAAAAATGATATAGGTATAGTATTTTTGAAAATCAATGTTTTTTCGATCGGAAAACTTTAGTTCTCTTTAGGTGACTTTCAATAATAATATTGATTATTTAACTTCCTTGGGTTTTGGCGGACCTATAAAATATAGTTTCTATAAAAAATGTTTAAATAAATAATTGGGTATTACTACTGGGAATGTCCTGAAGAGAAACAAAGTTTTACGATCGAAAAATACTGATTTTCATGAATTCTATACCATTTCTACGAAAAGTTGTTTTTCCCCCATATAAAATACATGGAAAACTTTCAGCGCTTTGAGCGACAAAAAATAGTAGCATAATTGTTATTTCATTCTAATAATTTAGCATTGCTTATGCCGCAGCCTTCTCAATATTCTTTTAAATGGATTCGCTAATATTTCTTAACAATTTTTCGATATTTTCGCAGGTGGCAATGCGACATTCCCCAATCTGCTCAACAACTTCGTGCATGTTTGCATGTATTTCTACTACATGATGTCGGCCATGGGGCCAGAATATGCCAAATATCTGTGGTGGAAGAAGTATATGACTGAACTGCAAATCGTAAGTGCCACATTACGTAATAACTTAACCGAAAAAAAATTTGAAACAAAAATTTAACTATGCAAATATACACAAAAATTTACAAACATACATATACATATATGTATGTATGTATAAGTGTTAGTGCTAAAACATTTTTAACGAAATTATTTTTGTTCTCGTCTGCATTCACAAATAAAGCAGTGTGTACAAAAACTTGCGGTGGAAACTGGAAAAGTTACTAAGAAAAGCTAATAACTAAATGTAAAACTTGGCTTCGAGCGCAACGACCCAGACGGTGCTAGAATTGCCAAATCGCAGCCGTATGAGCACATTCAATGAAAAATAGTAATATTGTCGGAAAATAAATAACATTGCCAGAATATTATTATTTAAAATAAATGTGCAAAATTTGTAATTGAAAAAACCTGTTGGAAAATTCTGCTTAAACGAATAGCAAATATCAACAGTAAATGTAGAACTACAGCTGGCAGGAAAGACTTCAGCAATTTTTGTTTACTAATAAGTAAATATTTGTAGCCAAAAAATCGGTAAAGCTAAAAGAGGAAATAAGTATCAACTCAATAGCAACAAATAAAGGAATTCATTAGGACGGGTCACTCGGAAAGTAAAAAAAAATAAGTCTATGAAGCTTTTGTTGCAAAGTAATTTAAGCGGAAATATGGAAAAGTAAAAAAATATAAGAGTTATTCTTCGCCAAATGAAGCCCCCTTTCTCCAAAAGTCTTTTAAGTAGAAGAAATTGTTTAAAGGCTTCAAAATTGGGTAAAAAAATATTTTTTTAATACAATAGAAGAACAATGTTTGGCAACATGATTGGATTTACTAGAAATTTCTTAGGCATGGAATTTTGGGATTGCTGATTGCGAAAATAAATCAAAAATTTTTGTTATGAAAATGACCATTACCAATTAAAACGGACTAATTGCTACCGACCATACTAGAGGGTATCTACTGTGTGATTACATAAGTATACATATGGAAATATTGGAGTAAACAGTAGCATTTTTGGCAGGTTTTCTCCTCTATAAGTTTTTTTTTTGGTTGTTTGATATCTCTATGCGACAGTGAATTTTATACACAATAAAATAAATAAGTAAATATATTTGCGAAACTTTTAGAAAAGTGTCGTAAAACTGCATAATTAGCTTTTTCTCTGTCATCAGCATATTTTTTAAAGGAATTTGAAATTCAATTCAAAAAATTATTTAAAAAATTCAGTGCAATGTATGCAGAATAACAATGTGGGTATCAAAAAAATTTTGTGGAATTAATATAATTAAAAATTATTTAATTTTTCTGTGCATGAAGGTATGGAAAATGTTCTTTTACAGTTTTGTGCTTGAATAACTTGGAAAATTTCCAAATTTTATTTTTTTTGAAAAAACTTAAATGTTAAGGACTAATATACACACGAGTTTCGTCCTCCTAACATTATTAGCTTAAAAAAAGAATTAATTAAAAATGCATTTTCAATACCTATTCATTATTGTAGACTAAAAAAAATGTAATATTTTTAAATGCTTAAGAATTCTCTCTTTTATTTAGTGCCTATATTCTTATTTTACATTGCACTGATTTTTAAAATAATTTTTTGGTTCAATCATATCATTAAAATTTCAAAGTCCCTTTAAAAAAATTCTGAAGTCGGTGTGAAAAACTAAAAAATACAGGTTTATTAAATTTGGCCCACAGTTCCGTGAGTATTTTGATCGCTTCGTGTGATTTGATTTTTTTTTTGCTGTCGCATGGTGTATTGCATAGAATCGTTTGCGAAAACCTTATACTACGTTTTGAAGATAAGTAACGATACTTTAAAATAAATATGCTCCAAGTTTGCATAGCATTTTACTTTGTAGAATTGGGTATTAAAAGTCTTCATTCCAAATCAGTTTAATTTCAAAAATATTGATCGTCCACTCTAGTACTCATACAAATTCATATTCATAGAAGTCCATTGATGTGCCACGTAAATAGTTGATGACTTCTATGATAATGTCACGCTAACACGCCAAAAACGGGCATTGGCCAATCGTGTGTTTGCTGCAAGCAAAGTTAACTTAGTAAAACACTTTGTTCTCTCGCCACAATGTAGTAAGTAAGTTGCTTGCCATGTCGTTAGTTTCTACGTACACGTGTGCACTTACATAAATATGTATGTATGTGTTTGCGATTTGACTTTATTTGGCTATCTAAATTTTGGCAAATAATTAAGTGAAGTTAAACAACGCTAACAAGTTGCCAAGAATAATGTCATTGACAGCAGACAAACCCTCGCAGTGCAGCTTACACTTTATGGCGATCTTTAAGCACTCTTGGCACTGCGAGACGTGGTCGACGTGTCGGCGCGGCGAAGAACCTGCTGAGATACTTGCGCTAATCGCCGATTGCATACCTGGTTGGTACACATGCAACTATATGCAGATATGTTTTTTTTTGTTTGAGATTCTAAGCTGCATAGTCGCATGCTAGCCATTTGAATTGGCATTGGCAAAATTTCGTGTATTTAATTAATTTTATTTTTAATACTTTGTCAACTGTTGTGTCTTCAAGCGCAAATAAATCCAGTTCTTAGCTGTTTGAACTGCCAGTTTACCGCTTTTTATAACATCTATAATACTTTCGTCTTTCACACAAACATCGGATTCCAAATCATATATTTTAATCGATATTCACGTTTTCGTTGTACTTTTGCTTGTGGGGCTTTCTAAAAAAAAATTCTTGTTTGCATTTGAAAAACACGTAAATAACACTTTTCGTATAAAAAAGCAATGTTTTGTGCGTCATTCAGAACATCTTCGTCAAATAATATATGAGGGCGATCGCCTTGAACTTTTTATCTCTGAATTGTATATAATATTTCGTTCATTTAACCCCGACTACTGGTTGGGGGAACGTTTTTTGGTTGATTGTTTTGTCACTTCATAACAATGTTTAAATTTTTTAACTGTCGGTATCAATTATAATTTTTAATTAATTTAATGCATCGCACTCATAATTAAATTTTACACTAAACCGGCAACTCCAAGTGGGGCTTTGCATATTTAAATAACTTTAATCTCATTTTTGAAAAGATTTAAACTGGTTGAGTTCCACGATCTTGGACAAGCAAGCCAAATCGCAAGTATTAGAAAGCATTCTAGCGGCGCACATAAGGACAAAGTGGCTAATTATGGCGACAAAAATAAAAAAACAAAAGTCTTTAAATCTTATCACACATACCTTTCTAATACTCCTTATAAACCAGTCCACAATGTAACACACAAATTTTGACTTTTAACGGAACGCAGAAGCGTGCGTCGAATTAAATAATTTTTCTAAAATCCAACAAATTGCTAATGTAAATACATCACGAACTCGTTCCTCCTTTTTACTCCATATGTATTTGACAGATTTCAATGAAATTTAGTATCCAGGGGGTTTCGTTGTCAATGATTTCGAAATTGATATCAAATTTTAAAAATTCAATGACATTTTGATTTTTGAAAATTGAGTATCAATTTCGAAATCAGTGACGACGAAGATTTCTGGATACCAAGCTTCATAACAATATAGACATTTTTTAAGAAATCTTCAGCCGTATTGGATCCGCCATTTTGATTTTTGAAAATTGAGTATCAATTTCGAAATCAGTGACGGCGAAAATCTTTGGACACCAAGCTTCATAACAATATAGAATTTTATTAAGAAATCATCCGCCATATTGGATCCACTATTGTGAATTTTGGAAATTTAATTTAATATTCGAAATCAGTGATGATGAAAATTCCTAAGTACCAAACTTCATTGAAATCTGGCAAAAACATGTGGAGTAAATATTTTTGTTCTCCTATATTGTCGATTCGTCCCTATGTGCGGCGTAGAGGTTCCTGTTTTGTAATGAAAGCAGCTATCATCGCCTGAATTAAACACAATATAAACATTTTAATCGGCTCTCGCTGAACTGCGGGGAAACTACAACTTTCTGATCCACGTCTATAGTTACCCTGTATGCAGTTAGGGTAAGGTGTTGCATCTTTTCAAAGGTCTTACTTATATCATGAGTATTATTCCTTTGTGTTACCACGCCGAACGGTAACTGGTAGGTTTAGGTTAATCTTGGTTAACGTTGCCAGTTGAAGTTTGATTTAAGGCATTAAAATATACATCACAAGGGATGCTAATCCTGGAAAGCAATTGGAAAATTAGATTACAGGTGTCTAAATCGAAATCTAGCAAAAGCTAGACGGTCTATGAGGAAATGTTGGGATCTGCGAGAAAGAGGGTCCAATGTGCTATTTAATTGAACTGCGAGTATGCCAATCGGTCAGTATCCTGTGTGTACATCCCACAGAAGCCTCAGCAGATGCCTAAATCGCGCCTTATTCACCTTCGGTTAAAACGACCTTCAAGTGGCCCATGTCAATGGTTTTCTTCAGAATTCGCCGAGTCTACGCGCAATCCATCTGCCCAAGAGAAGTCCCCAAGTATGTAGTCAAAGGAACTAGCACAGTATCTTTTCTAGCTGATGCTGGCTCGTGTGTGGTGTGGTTTCCTGCGATATCACTTCCATTAATATTATTGATATTCTCATTCACCACTTTCACTGTTCCACTTTATGTAGGTTTAATTAACCGATATACAACTTTGGAAAAAATGTCAGTAATAATTTTTTTGTTCTGTGAAAATCTGCTTTTATATAAAAAAAAAAATGGGATTTTTCGACACGCAGAAATCAAACTCAACTTTTTGTTGACTAAAAGGGTGATATGACTTTCCATACATATTACAAAGTGCGACACAAACGAAAAAAATTTCAAAACACACGAAATAACATACTCACGTAACTAGGGGCCAAATATAATAAAACTGTGTTTTTAGCTTTTCTCTCTTTTTTGCTTTTAAAGGACTTTGAATCTTGAAGTATATGAAAAATTAAAAAAATTATTTAAAAATTTCAGTGCTATGTAGACACCCAATAAAGAGAAAATATTGTAGAATTGAAAAACATGAAATTTTTTG